TTGTGGGGTAGTGATTCTGATCATGATCATGATCCTTGGAGTTCCATACAAAATCATCATCAACAACAAAAAGATGCAAAAGGGAGTTTCATGACAAAACAAGAGTTTGTTGACATCAAGAAAAAGCAAAGATTTGGTAAGCATAAATTGAAAAGAAAAAAGTCATTTAGAAAGTTGCCTAGGTTTAGATTTAATTTATGGAGATGGGGTGGATTTAGATTAAGAAGATTGAGGTTTCTTTTTTGTGGTCGTGTTAAATGTTGACAATTTTATTTTTGTATAGATAGAAATATAGATGATAAACAATTTTTAGTAGACACAAATTTGATTGTTCATCCATCCTTTATGTTATATTACCAATAAACTCATTGTACTTTTGAAATTATATACTCAAATTGTAATAGTTATTGAAAGCTTAGTAAATTTTTTATTTATATATCCAGCATTCATGTTTCTCGTAAAAACTATTGGATTCAATTGAACATGTTTAATCATGACATCTGCCTTTGATCTTTACGAAAGAAAGCGAAGTAACGAAAAAACCAATCTCTAAATTTGACAAGAAAGAAGAAAACAAAGAAAGTGAATGAGAAAAACATCAAGGCTTGTTGTAGTTTGACCTTGTTCAACCAAAATCAAGAACTTGTTTTGAGTATTAAAAAGTTAAATTAGGTACATTCATTCCCTCAATATTAACTTATCTTGGAAATCAAGTGATTAACAACTTAATTAAATGTCATTACATACCACACAATGAGTAGATATTAATCTATCTATGATGCTTCCTTGTTCAATTTTCATACTTTTACTTTGTCTATTCCACAAGTGAATACCATAAGTCTTCTCATTTAGCTCAAGCACTTTAGCCTCTATCCATCTTGAATCATTTTTAGCATTAAAAAATCCTTTAATTCTAATCCAATTCATTGGATAAAAAGCTCTTGGTGGCAAGACACTAAAGTTGTAATCTTTTACCTTCTCTACAACTCTTGAAACCAAGTATGGTCCATTATATCCCCATCTATTTCCATCAAAACTCAAAGCAAATTCCTCCATGAATTTGTAAACAAGTGGATGACTTTTATCAAAAATCAATACTGCATTATTCAATCTTGTCCAATTCCCATTTCTATCCACACTTTGTGCACCAATTGAGTTCCTCAATCTTGAAAAATCCTTCAAGATAATGAAATCCGTGTCTAGATAAACACCACCATACTTGTACAACACGGCTAGTCTAATCAAATTAGACAAATTTTGTGCCAAAGGAATTTTACCAGGGTCCTTTTTCCCATTCTTGAGATCAATAAACCAAGATTTAGATGGAGTATTTTCAAACAAAAAATACAAATCAGGAGTGACAAGAAGAATTCTATAGCCCAACTCAACTAAAGATTTAAATATCATAGTTCCACTTGGTGAGTCTAAAGTATGTGACAATATTATCAAACACCCTTTAGGATGTGCTTTGAATAGACTCTCTAAGGTGAAAAATTCTATTTTACCAAATGATTTTGTAGGGGAAATCCATGTCATGAAGAATTGGACACTACAATAATGACTTGTAAAAAATTCATTCATTCTACCATTGAATTTTCTTGAGATATTTGTGGACTTTAATATCTCAAAATATGGCAAGTTTTTCTTGAACCAAGAGATTCTTTCTTCTTGTGAGAGATTATAAGGAGGCACCAAATGTGCATAATCTTCTTCTTCGTCCTTCAAATAAACTTCATTATTAGTCTCTTCCTTCATCGAAAACAACGGTCGATTAGCTAAAGGTGGTTTCAATGGTTGCAAGGAATTGATATTGATTTGAAAGACAATTGATTTGGATGAAATATTAGCTATGAGAGAATCATAGAGGATTATAAGGGAAATGATCAAAGCAAAATAGAAAAAAGAGAAAAGTTGAAACTTTGTATAGTAATTAAACATCTTTAACATTAAAAATTACACTTATTCTTAGTGTATCATAGAAAGTTATGGATAAATTGTCATTGTGAAAGAACTAAAACAATTAGGCCTAATATATGAATGAATAATGGTCTTTTGCATGAAAACAAAATTGATGTAGAAGCATTTTGAAAGTTTTAACGTGTTGAAATTTGAACAATTCCTAGTTAAGTATATTTTACCAAAATCCTACAAAGCTAAGTGAATTATTGTTATTGTTTGGCTGCCTAAAAGAAAATATGTTGTTTATTATTTCATAAAAGACTAAGGAATCTGACAAAGTAATCTAACAGAAAATGAGGTTTCTTGGACACTTATATAATGAACAGAAAAAATGGTGTTTTCAGAATACTTACGTCTAAAAATGAAGATCTCTTATACCTAATGTAAATTTGTCATAGTATTGCTATGTATTGCTATAAATGATAATAAGCAAAAAAAATAAAAATCATCAAATATAATAATTATTTATTAAAAGTAATTATTCCATAAAAGTAGGGGTGTTCACGGTTTGGATAAAAACCGATCCAAACCGAAAAATCAAACCAAACCGATAAAATAAAACTGATTTTATTTGGGTTTGGTTTGGTTTGGTTTGGTTTTAGATTTTTGAAAACCGATAGTATTTGGTTTGGTTATGGTTTTATTCGAAAAAACCGAAGAAATAACCGAACCGAACCGATGAATTATATACATATATTTTATTAATATACATACTTAATATATTGTTTTTATAAACAATTTTAAAGATCTTATACATATTTTCATTAAAAAAAAAATTATAATTTACTTATTGAAAGCAAAAATGCCCAAGATGAAACATTTATCTTATTGATTTCATGTATATGAGTGTCTAT